CGGTCGTACGATAAGCCCATAGAGCTTCGCCGAGTTTGTCGTCCCAATCTCGTTTATTGGTTTTCACCAATTTTGCCAGAATTTTGATGATAGTCTTGTTAAAAGCTTCGGCTAATCCGTTAGCTGTAGGATTATAAGCAGTCGATGAAACATCTTTAATCCCGAATTTACTGCAGAACTTGATAAATGCGTTGCTCACGAATTGAGGACCATTATCATGCACTATTCGTCTTGGAACACCATACCGATAAATGATATGGTGTTTAATAAATTTGATAACATCAGCCGTCTTTACTTCTCTAAGTGGAACTGTTTCTGCCCATTTCGAGAAATAATCGGTGATTGCCAAAATAAAACAATCCCCTTTAACCGAAGGTGGGAAAATAGGACCTACTATATCCATTCCCTAAGTTTCGAATGGCCATGATGTCGCCAATGGGTGTAAATACTCAGGAGGCTGGTGCATATAATTTGCATGTAGTTGACACACTTCACATTGTCGTGCGTAGTCGACTGCGTCTTTTACCATAGTTGGCCAGTAATACCCGATTCTCCTAAGTCGATCACAGAGTTTAGGACCGGGCTGATGTGCACCGCAAATCCCATCATGCGCCTCTTTGAGTGCTTGTTCCGCTTCTTTACTAGATAGACAACGGAGTAAAAGACCATCGTACGCTCGTCGATACAACATTTGTGCTGTGGCGTTGTAGTAAAATCTCGGCGCTCTTCGCCGAATCGATTCCCTTTCTCTTACATCTTCAGGCAATATACCATGTAAGACATAGTCGATAATAGGAAAATGCCAATCTCGAACTTCGGGTTCAACTCCGGTTGAGTATGCTTCCTTAGCATTCGAATCGTAGATTGGAACAATAAGCTGGTGAGTCCTCACTATAATCAATTGCTCTGTTTCGGGAGGTTGAGCTAAGGATACAGACAACGCCGCCAATGCGTCTGCGTATGCATTTTGGAGACGCGGAACATACTCGATAAAAAATCCTTCAAACGAGCTTGCCATCTCGATGGCCACCTGGTGGTATGGAATCAGATCCCGATTTCTGACTTCATACTCTCCTCGTATTTGATTAACTACCAGTTGAGAATCTCCAAAAGCCTCAAGGTATTCGACCCCCAGCTCTTTGGCGAAATTAAGTCCGATTATTAATGCATTATATTCGGCCACGTTATTAGAGCATGGTTCGGTCAGTGAATATCCTCTAGGCAAGACATGTTTTTCTGGGGAGACTAAAACGACCCCCACTCCTGAGGAGATTTTAGAACATCCGGGTGCACTTGCCACATTGGTTGATCGGGAAGCTCCATCGAAATATAATTGCCACACTTGTTGATGCGAGGTGGTATTAACTTCGTGAGCTTCATCGGGCAGATCGTCGTACAACTCCACTACATCTTTCGTAGGATTTTCCGCCAAAAGATCGCAAATAGCTCGTCCCTTAACCGACTTTTGTTGTTTGAAATATAAATCATATTGCGATAATAGTAGAGCCCACCTGGCTAAACACCAATTCATAGATGTCGGTTGGGTCATGAATACCCGGATTGGGTTTATGTTGGAAATGACATAAATTGTCTGTCCAACCAAATAATGTCGCATTTTTTAGATTGCGAATACCAAGGCGAGGCATTCCTTCTCAATCATCGGATAACGAGACTCAGCCCCTACCAATGTACGACTCAGATAATACACAGCTTGTTCGTGACCATTATCGTCGTCTTGTGCGAGTAATGCACTTAACGAATGGCTTGTCGCTTTGACATAAATCAAAAACGGTCTGCCTGATTTCGGTGCAACAAGAATAGGTGGATTCGCCAGATATTTCTTAATATCTTCGAATGCCTTTTGACACGCTTCATCCCAAATGAATGACACGCCTTTCTTCGCAAGTTTCGAGAATGGTTGACATTTCCCAGATAAGTTCGATATAAACCGACGAATATATGCCAATCGACCTTGTAACCCCCTGAGTTCTTTAAGATTCCTCAGGGGTTGTAATTCATGTATCGCCTTCACTTTATCAGAATCGATATGAATACCTTTTGTGGTGACGACGAATCCAAGAAATTTACCACTGGACATCCCAAGGAAAGACTTAGTTGGGTTCATCTTTAACTGATGAGTCCTCATAAGTTCGAACATCGTCTTCAAATCGTTAATGTGATCACTTTTATCACGACTCTTAACGACAAGGTCATCAACATAGCATTCGACGGTCTTCCGAAGGTGTTCTTGAAAGATCTTCGTCATCGCTCGTTGGTACGTAGTGCCGGCATTTTTCAAACCGAATGGCATAACAGTATAACAAAAGACACCAAGGGGTGTTCTGAATGCTGTATGCTTTTCATCGTCCGGGTGCATCTTGATTTGATTATACCCAGAAAATCCATCCATGAATGACATCCTTTCAAACCCGCATGTATTGTCAATGATGACGTCTGTAATTGGTAGAGGAAAGTCATCTTTGGGGCAGGCCGTATTCAGATCTCTGAAGTCAATACAGATTCTGATTTTTCCGTTCTTTTTAAGGACTGGAACGATGTTGGCCAACCATTCAGGATGTTGTTCTTCTCTGACAAAACCCGAATTAATTAATTTCTTGACTTCAGTTTCTATTGCCTCCATAATCTGCGGACGAAACAATCTTTGTTGTTGTTTGACAGGTTTGGCACCCGGTTTAATGTTAAGGCTATGCATTGCTACATCTGGGTCGAGTCCCGGCATATCTTCGTAGTTCCAAGTGAAAACGTCGATATACTCTTTAACGAGGGCGATTAGTTCCTCTTTTTCATCCGCTGGAAGATCACCGCTGATAAATATAGGCTTTGGGTTAGCTTCGTTACCCATATTAACTTGGACTACTTTATCTTCGGTAGGAGGTTCTCTTTGCTCAAATCTATCGCCATATTAGATATTCATGTAATGTATCCATGGATCTTCCCAAATGGGCAACTGATCGTCCTCTTCGGTTGTGGAAGGATCAACTGTCGCCATATTCGACATTAGGGCTTTGAATTTTTCTCCAATGCTCACGTCAGAATCCCAGGTTGAAGCATCGGATGAATGCCCACTCTTATTTATTAGTTGGCTAATAATCTATTGGCCATATTCGTCATCAGATGATGAAGTATAACCTAAACCCCTTTTATGACTGTAATAATTATCAGGTCTCCCTTTTGGTACGTAGGCAGGACGGGGTGGAACTTTGACGCCTTGACCAAAATAAAGACCTTCACCAAGCGAGAGGTCATAACCTTGTTTTGTCATATAACCATTCTCTTGTGAACTATACCGAGAGAAATGTTGCCCGGGCTTTTCTTCATCCGAATTAACATCCATCCAAGAAAAGATCTGGAGTAGGGGATGGTTCCCCTTTTCCAAAGACTATCTCTTTTTCACCCCCTGTCTTCTTCTTCACGGGTAGTATCATAGTTGTTCCGAATGAATTTTGGAGGTAATCCATTCATTGCAGACAAGACTTTATTGAAATACCTGCTAACTGTTTCCCCTGATCTTATGAACTCAGTTCTTATTATTCTATTTTTAGTTTTGTGCCCAATAATACTCAAGAACATAGCAAGTTGTTCTTCAACTTGAACGTGTCTCGTATCTTTTAATAAACCGTTTGCTTTCATTACTTCAACAAGTTTAAAAAATGCCCTCGGTCTCATTCTAATATAAGATTGGCAGCTATCTTGATAACCCTCCAATACACGTCTGAAATGAGCCTCTCTACAACTTATTTTCCTGACCCTTTCTTGCGGCGAACAATTTGGTATTCTCTTGCGCTTAGCACGCATTCTCAAAATACATGTTACCAAAGTGACCACGGCGCAGACAGCTGTATTAGCACACATCCTCTTCAATTCTTCCTCATCTTCCATATCCATCTACAACCGTTTTAAAATTATCATACAGTTACAGCTTAAGATGGCTACTTATTTCTTGTCAAAATTAAGTAGATAATTGATACAAATATTTATTTCTTTTAAAGCAAGAAATCTAATTGCAATAATAAATTATTTTAACTAATGTTGCATTCCATCTCACACAATTCTAAACAAGCAAGATAGACCCAAAACAAACAAACTATATGGTTAGATTACTAATAATTTACACGCACACAAAAAAATTAAATAAAGTAAAAAAAACAGCAATTTAAGTTATTAAAAGACTGATTTGAAACATATTATGAAATTAATCTCTACACAGATACCCGCATGAAATTAATCTACCTAACAACCTAATTCTTGCAAATTTACAAAAAATCCACTACACAGAGACCCGCATGAATTATTTTGCTGTAATATTATGAAATTAATCGAACAAATCATTGAAATTGCTGTGTGTGTGCCTCTATTTCTCATATGCTTCAAAATTAAATTTAATTTTTCAAATCACTGGAAAAAATGGACAAAGTAAAAGGGGGAAATTTTTATACCTTACTGCAGAGGGGAAAATTCCGACGTTCAAGCTCGTGGAAATCAAGAAGATCCCAACCCAAGTTGAAGAAGATCCCAACCAGAAGGGATCACCAAGAATCGAAGGCAAGAAAACCAGCAACAATCTCGTGGAAATCAAGAGCTAGGGTTTCGAGAAAGAGGCCCGACCCCAAGTATCATCGTAGACGAAGAAGCGCGGGAGCAGAGGCGCGAGGAAGAGGGCGATTGAGGCGGGAGCGGCAGAGCGATTCCAGATCTAGGGATCGAAAGCGTGAAGCCAGGAATCGGAATGGACGGGGAAGCTCAAGTGTCAGAAATCTCGCCCAAATCGGAAGCAAATGCTAGGATTTGGGTTTCTACAAAAAAGGACAACTGTAGCTACTGTGTAGAAGATGTAATCCCAAAAAATTTTGCTGAACCAAACTCCAGAATAGGATTCACAAAGAATCCATAATTTACGAAAATGCCACTGTCAGAACCCAATTCCTAATCCTATTCTATAAAAGCCTGAAACAAACAGGCCCTTACCCAACATCCACGCCTCTCTCTTTCTCTCGCTAACGTCTCCATTATTAATGAAAAAAAAGGTAAATATTATATTCCACCAGTGCATCTTCTGGAGCTTGCCCCCGACGCTCTCCGGTGACCGCGTAAAAATGGCCGTCCCTCTCCCAAAACCCCCTCATTTCCCCCTTCCCCATCGCCCCAAGACCCTAATTTTCTCACTGTACGCGCTTCTGTTTCTCGTTTTCGCCTCAGGTTCGTGAGTTTTTTTGACCCCTCTTTGTTTTTTGCGATTTTTTTTGTTGTTGCTAATTTTGGGTCTAAATTTCATGGGAGTTTGTGCTTTCAGGAAGTTTTGAAGAGGGAGAGGGCGAACTATTTGTGGGTATTTTGAGGGACGAGGCAGTCGATAGGATCAAAGAGTTGGGAAAGGTAAAGATGTGTTCTTTTAGTTTTATACCCATTCACTTTTTCTTTTTCTTTTTTCAAAATTTTATTTTCGTTTCTCTTGATTTAGTTTTAGAAAATTAGGTCGATATTTTGAGAATTCTTGGTTGTCAGTTGATAAGAACTAATCTCATGATGATATCTGCGGCGGCATCACTCAATATGTTGGCACTTCGTGCGTAGTTTATTTTAGTCTAACAACACCTCAAGCTGGGACGTAAGTATTAAAGAGATTCAGATTATTATTGCTACGTCTATTCCAAAATATCTCATGAGCGAATTGCGAAATTGATCCCCTGAAAATCACACGAGGAGCACGAGGAAATTTATCAACCATCTTCCCATGAACCAATTGTTAATCAGTTACTAGGTGTTTAGTGATCTCATGAAGTGTTAGGTTGTCAGAAATACAGGCAGTTGTTTGGTTATCCGGGAATAAGAAAATGGAAGCTGCGCGAGATACCCATTCTCACAAGGTAGATGATGATCAAGTCATATGAGTTCACGGGTGATGTTCGCCATAGTTTGATAAGTTACTTTGCACATTATGAAACGATTGTACCTTGTTTTCTTTACTCCTCCAAGAAACTAAGTGCCCATGAAGAAAGTTGCAAGTTCTTGTAAATAACCTTCAGCCCAGGCGGTGAACAAACCCCATCGACATTTTAAAAACTACTGCAACAACTTTGCCCACGAAGGCGTAGAGTATTTCACAACCAGGAGAATATTTAAGGTACGTAGAATGAACTGTGGCTTCTCAGTGAGGCTTCTGTGAGGCATTTACGGGCTGGCTCTTTACATTAGGTAATTTAGTTTCCCAGAAGTTGATGACAATCATCCGATCAATTACCTTTATCTGCATTTAACTCGGAATATTAGAATATCTGCTGGGTTTACTGCTAAAAGGCCCATCTGCTATGACAATTCCAATACATACTTCCTCTAGAACAACAAGCAACCTAATACCTATGCTAGAGTTGCTAACTACTACACCAAAACTCCGAAGCTATGGTGAGATTTACGGGTTATAGTTTTATATTCTAACATGCCCCCGCAGGTTGAGGGCTCTTCTTTATGGGCTAAAATATGGACTCACACAACAGTATCAATTTTTTTAAAATCCTCATTAAATTCATGGCTAGTGGGATTCAACCCTAGGTTGCTCTGCTACCATGTTAAAGTTGCTAACCATTACACCAAAACATCGAAGTTGTGATGAGGGTTGCAGGTGATAGTCTTGTATTCTAACAACTTGAAAAATATTTGTAATTTCTTTTCTTTGACTCTTGTGTACGAAAGTGGGGCTACAAAAATTACTTCAATCGGCAGTGTGCTTTGCATTATTGCCCGTGAGAACAATGTCATTAACACAAAACTCGACTGATATTTCCACAAAGAGAAAATCTTGAATACACAAAATAACATCATCGACATAGCTTTAAGCCAAACTTTGTCGTGAAGGAAAGGGACCGAACTGTATATATTCAAGGACTTCAAAGGTCATATATAGCTTTATGCCACCTGCTTAACTTTCAGCCACAAATGAAGTTGCATAATTTAGTCCGAATAGTAGACATTCAATAACTTCACAGCTTTGGGTGACCAATGGATTGTTAATGAATGTGGTCACCCTCTTTCACGAAAGTGGTGAGATGAAAGAAAATGCTTCCAAGCTGCAGTTGGATCAGACTTATGAAAATGTACTCTTGCAACAATGCACCATTTCATGCAAAGTAATCTTCTCATAAAACATTAGAAAATGAAGAAGGAAATATTGAAAATACAGAGAACTTTTTGTTCACGTTGAGGAGAATTGGTATCAGTAACTAAAAGTTAATTCATTGCTGTAGTGTCATTGTTAAGGAAAATTGTTATCCTAGCCTTTTTCTTGGCACTGATGCTCCTCATTTTCCGATAACTGTAAATCCAAGAAGGTTTTCCTTTGAGAATTATGTTTGTTTTCTATCAGTAGTAACTTATTCCTTCTCAGCAGATTTCTGATGCTGATAGTTATCTTGAAAGAACATTTTTAAGTCCGGCCTCTATAAGAGCTTCAGAACTTATCCTAAATTGGATGCAGGATGCTGGTCTGAAAACGTATGTCTCCAATAACTTTTTAGATACTTTTTTTCTTGAGAGAATTTGTAGATACTTATGTTAATCTTGTCTCAAGTAAACCGATTGATGAGTTTTAGGTGGGTGGACCAGATTGGCAATGTACATGGTCGAGTTGAAGGAATGAATTCAAGTGCTGAAGCTCTACTTATTGGATCTCATTTGGTATTGACTCAAGCTTGTTTCCTTTTTATATTTGAAGAATCATTGATTAAAACTTTGTCTGTTATAAACAGGACACTGTCATTGATGCTGGAATGTATGATGGATCGTTGGGTGTTATCTGTGCCATTTCCGCTTTAAAAGTTCTCAGAGTAAGTGGGAAGCTGCAGAACCTTCGAAGGCCAGTAGAGGTTAGCAATTTAATCTTTGCTGTTGGTTGCTGAATATATGGGAGCTTTGTTGAAAAACAATGTAACAATATAAGCAGTTTGTTTTCTCAAAACTACATTCCTAACTACATTCTCGGAGCTGGGAATGTAGTTTTTTCTGTGTAACAACTACTTATTAGTATTAGTAAGGGCTGGGGATCTGTATGAGTCCCATTGTTTTTCTCAAAAAACAACTAAACATTAAAATATGATCATAAAGATTTGGGGCAAAAGCTGTGTTGTTGAATGATTAAAGTTGTGAGTAGTTTAATATGTAAAGTTAGCTTTCATTGCTGATGTAACTTATTTCTAACTCGTAGGTAATTGCTTTTAGTGATGAAGAGGGGGTCAGGTTTCAAACTACATTTCTAGGCAGTGCAGCTATAGCGGGTAGTTTACCCAAATATATATTGCAAATATCTGATAACAGGTGTTTGTTCATAGAATTTTCGTTTTACATCTTACGGGTTCTGTTTAATTTGTTTCCCTTCTAATGCGAATGAATTGTCCAGTGGCATTACGTTGCAAGATGTCCTTAGAGAAAGTTCATTCCAAGGTACCAATGAGAGCCTGGATCAGATCAAGTATCAACCAGAATCAATTTGGAGTTATATTGAGGTATGGGTTCTCAATAGTAGTCATTACCATCAATCTCATTTATTGAACAATATATATTTCTCTGTACTACGACTTTCATGTATTCATAAAATGTATCATCTATTTGTGCAGGTCCACATTGAACAAGGTCCTGTACTTGAATCCATTGGTAACCCTGTCGGCATTGTGAGAGGTATTGCAGGACAGACACGACTGAAGGTCTGTTTCCATTATTTTCCACTGTATCAGAAAGCTGAATATAATATAAGAAGGATGTAAGTGTAGAATGAAGTAGTAATCAATCTTAGAGTGCCGCTACTGGAATTCTTTACTTTATGAGTACGGATAAAGAAATAACTCATTTAATTGGACAATACAACTTAATGTGATTTATTGCAGAGATCCAGAACTCTCAAACTCATGCTGTTTGAATTTATTGATCAATATACTAGCCAGAGCCTATAAACAGATACGAAATATTCATAGTTCAAAGTCATAGCTTATAATATATGAAGGTTTTGGAATTACGTTGTCCAACATTGTGTTCCATAAATAAGACCTACACTGCATGCTATTCAATGAGCAAGTATATTTAAGCTGTAACAGTTATCATTGGATGTTCGTTAAGGAAAATGGTCACGATATATGGGCACGCTATTGCCACATTTGGGTAAAAAATGTCTGCAAATCATTATGTTCCATCTGTTTTGCTTTCTAAACTTTTGTGATGTATTATAAATTTCAGTAGAAATGTCTCATAAATAGATGACAATGAATTTTACGCACGTCCAATTTCAGGTAATTATCACAGGTTCTCAAGGACATGCAGGCACTGTCCCAATGTTCATGCGCTGTGATCCAATGGCTGCTTCTTCTGAACTCATATTCTCGTTAGAGACTCTCTGCAAGAATCCTGAACGTTTTTTTGCTGTTGATGATCAATGTGGAAGCTTCAGAAAGGAATCTTTCGAAGGATTAGTTTGCACGGTTGGAGAAATTTCTTGTTGGCCAAGTGCAAGCAATGTCATCCCTGGCCAGGTATATAAACAATAAATCAATTTCACTGCTTTTCACTTGCTCATTAGTTAAAAAAATTCTTTTACCTCAGGTAAATTTTACTGTGGATATTCGAGCAGTAGATGACTTGATAAGGGAATCTATCGTATTTGAATTTTCCAATAGGATAAATAAAGTATGCGAGAATCGGATGGTTAATTGCACCATTGATCGTAAGGTAATGGTTATCTTCTTTATTTCAGACTCATGAACTTTACATTAGCAACCCATCAAAGGATGGCTTCATCATTTCTTTTTTTGCCCCTTTTAATATCTCCAAATTTGCAATTCTTTGTTTCAGCATGATGCAGAGGCTGCACATTGCAGCTCAGAATTGAGCCTGCAACTTCAAAATGCAGCTCATTCAGCTGTCAAGAAAATGGATACTGACATCCAAGGGGGTGTACCTGTATTAATGAGCGGAGCAGGGCATGATGCAATGGCTATGTCTCATTTAGCTAAGGTCATGCCCTGTCACCCAAAACTTCATTTTTTTCTTATTTAATGTGATATTTTGCTGCTTTCTAATTGTGTGTTGATCTGAAAACCAGGTTGGCATGGTTTTTGTTCGGTGTCGAGGAGGCGTTAGCCATTCCCCTGAGGAGTATGTATTAGATAATGATGTGTGGGCAGCTGGTCTTACTCTACTCCAGTTTCTTGAGACCAACATTTTAGATTAATGAAGGCGCCACAGAGAAGTATTAATCTGCTGGACCTAACATAACAGAACCTAACCATGTCCTGTGCTAGGGTGAGTTATCAGAACCGATTTATAACGGTCTGCTTATTGAATCTTCATAAATTTTGAGAGGTTTTGCACAAGACTACCATAAACGTTTTTTATTAGAGAAAATTACCATGAACTTTTAAACTGCAGAAAAAAATACCGTGAACTATTTGAAATAAACGTGTCTATTCAATGCACAAAGTCCATCAGGGTTAAGGTAGAAGATATATAAAGTACACCAGGGCAGAATTGTCCATAATGGAGAACGAACCCTTACTGCCGTGAAATTCAGTGAAAATCATTCAAATTAGAAAAGTTTATGGTGGTTTTGTGTAGAAAACCCGAGGTTTCATGGTTTTTGTGAAACTTACCCTTGTATATTTTTAGCAAAAAAATTAGTATAATGTATTTATAATTGTAATTTTCTAAACATTTCAGGTGTACGAGGATTGTTGCTGTTTGTGAAGGAGAATAACTAGGCAAGATGCAAGCATCCACACACGCGCACACGCAGGTGTAAAACAACTTACCGAGAAAGTATGTACTATTATTGTAATTATTACTTTCAACAAAATAAACTAACACCTTGCTGCATCTCCATGCTACTTGTTCCTCACTTTTCTTCACTGTAATTATACTTTTAACAAAATAAAGTCAGGTCTTGTTATCCATCATACTTATGCTCGATCACTAATCATAAATGCTCGTTGGTAGATTTAATTAAGGAACGTGGCTCAATGTAAAAATTTCCACAGAGATGTGATCTGACATCAAGCTGTGTACTGTTAGCATTAGCATGAGCGTGACTGAATAATATTATCGCATATATGATAGGTTATTACACCTAGCTAGTTGGGTTAGGGCCCATTATGTCCTACTTGAACCAAATCATGTAAGTCTAAAGATTCTCAAGAATCTGGTCTCGGTCATGTATTCTTTGAGATGAAGAAAGAAGGCGTGAGGGTTTGATTGAAGAGCATTGGGTCCTTTGAAAAAGAATCCATGAAGAAGAAGTGTTTCTCGCTATCACCACTGGCTGGATAGTGATCTTGAAAACACATACAAGACGTTCTGATGTAATTTATATTCTGATGCCACCTGATTTCTTTTCACTTCATACCATGTCATGTCAAGAGTTCAAAAGATGGACAAACTTTTAAAAAGGACCATTTTTCTAATTTTATATAGCAAAAACAACCTCATCAGAAAATAATCTGCAAAACCGACTATTTTCTTCAGAAAAGGGTTGGTTTTGCAGCCGCGAAGTTTTTCGAGCTACATGGGATGTAGTTTGGTCAGGAATTGAAATGCACGGGACTAGCAGTCCCGTGCTTCTTCTTCTACAATTGATCCTGAGAGAAGAATGAAATGCACGGGATCGCTAGTCCCGTGCATTTCAATTGAACTACACGGGACTAGCAGTCCCGTGTAGCTCGAAAAACTTCGCAGCTGCAAAACCGACCCTTTTCCGAAGAAAATGGTCGGTTTTGCAGATTATTTTCTGATGATGTCGTTTTTGCTATATAAAATTGAAAAAAAGGTTCCTTTTAAAAATTTGTCCATCTTTTGAACTCTTTGATATGACATGGTATGAAGTGAAAAGAAATCAGGTGGCATCAGAATATAAATCACATCAGAATGTCTTGTATAACCGACCCTTTTCCAAAGAAAAGGATTCTTTTCCAAAGAAAATGGTCGGTTTTGCGGATTATTTTCTCATGATGTCGTTTTTGCTATATAAAATTTAAAAAAAAAAGTCCTTTTAAAAATTTGTCCTCAATAGATCCATCCAAACATCAGACATGAGAGAGAGAGAGATGACTTGCCACCCTACTTTGCCAATGTGGTATCATGTGTGACAAAAAAGACATGATGGTTTTTTATATCAATTTCCCATAGGTGAACTGTAACACAATACCATAATGAAACGATCACTCTTTTGTGGAGTCACGTGGCACAAAACAGACTGAAGTGATGACAAATATTAGGCCCAGACATCACTGGTGGTAAACGCGGTCTTCAACAGTGGGCCTTAGTAGGCCCGTTTTATTCATGGCCAGGAGAACACGGAGAATGCCTCAGTCCAAACATTAGTTGAATGAGATGATGCCCACCAACATACGCATATTTTTACTTTCGTTCTTCTACTTTTATGGCAGGATGAAGAAATCTGAGGGAAAAAACTTGAGGAGAAATATATACGGTATGGAGAATAGTATTGGTATAATAAAATGTCAGTATAATAAGAACATCATAACAATGTAATCAGACTAGCGTATCGGTATAATCACCAATTTTAAAATTTATGCTAAAAATTTTCGTTTTCCTTGCCTCCCCATGAGACGACGTCCACTTTCTAATAAAGATATAAATTTTGGGTGGGTATATACTTTTATCAATTATGATTAGTATTTATACACGTTCAATAATGAGCAACTTAAAACAACCTTTATTTTTAAAAAAAAAGTTAAGAAAAATTTAACTTTTGAATATGTAAATTTAACATATTTTGAAGGCATATATAGTGGTGTATCTACTCCTCTATACTTGTAGGAGGATCCAAAGATTTACTATTCATGCTACAGTAAATGCTACAGCCTGCAGCGCAAAGCAGAATAAAAACGCTGTAACATTTGAAAAATTTTGCTGTAGCATTTAAAATTTGTAGGAGAATCCAAAGGGATCACTGTTGTATTTACAAAAATTTGCTGTGTCATTTAAAAAAGAATTACATTAGAGGATATAAAAAAAGAGGGCCGTGCTCTACACGGGTGCACACTAGTTTTAAGGAAAATGTAAAATAAAATTTGATCATTCCAAAAGGAAGGGGAAAATAATAACAACTAGTTTCTTTGACGTTCGATGGAGGTATATTCTATAAGTGGCATTGTTATCCAGAGTTGGATACTCTTTCGAAAGGGCAAAAATAAAGAATCATTCCATCTTTTTTTACTACTAATTAAGATAGTGCAGTAAAATATCAGTAAAATATCTTTGATAAATATTAACTAGAGACTACTGCTTCGATGATGATTCTTGTTGTGTCAGGTAATATGGACTTGGATCTGGTTTAGAAAAATGGGTATGCTTGCTACCAAGCACAAAAAATGATGTTTGGTAATGAGATGTCACATCCACCTCCACTCATCGAAATCGGGACACACACTCACATGAGTTAGGAAGTCGTTGGGAGTTACAATGAGTGGATGAGAATGAGACACCTTACTATCAAGCACCAAATTTGTGCTTGGCACCAGAAATATCAAATATCAGCCAGAAAAGTTTCAAAGAATGTACCGCATGTTACGCTTAAAAAATATAATTTTTTCTGTTGAGCAATTATTTGCGATGCCCAACGTCAACGCCACTCGTATCCACACCCTTTCAGCTATCCAATAGCATCCGGTTGTTTTTAGGTTCCAAATTATCCCAAAAATATGTACACACATATATATATTTATTTACTTTATAAATATTTAATTTATGTTTGCAACTGGTCGCATACATCCGTCCATGCCAAGCTCTGCAGACGAAGACCAAATAAATGGACTCATATGCGACCGTTATTAGCCTGCGATGACAACATAATGTCAACACTTCCTCAAAGGCTGAAAAAGCATTTTTAACCCTCAATCTAATGAATCTCTTTAAATAAATAAACTGTTTATTCCTTCATGTCGCTGTTATGAGCTCATTATCCATCCTTTTCTCTTCTTAATTAATTAATTAATCACGTCATCAGTCTCATCTCCACTTTGTGTTATTAGGTCCTGAGTATGGATACCACTGGGTTTGGGTTGGCGTTCTTTACGCTGTGCCCGGCCCGATTAAGGTATTTTCTTTGCATATTATTAGAAATTGGAGATCCTCCTCATCATCATTCGTGTGTATGTTATCTTTCAGATTCTTCTTCTTATTTTTTATCGGACAGATGCTTTCTCTACAATTGGGATGGCCCGTGGTGTCACGCTAGCTAAAATCATACCATGAGTTTTTTTTTATAAGACTCCTGAGATACATGGGACCTCTTACCTTTTTTCCGTATCTTCTCATGCATGCATTGACCTTAATTATGATCTCTTAATATGTGATGTTTCACGGACGCCTTCTACTGTATTATATTGTTTTCATATCCGCTTTAGCATGATAAAACGAGACTAGAGCCTTTAGCTTATACAACATAAATTCTATCAGAATGATCTGCATTTAAACCATGCTAAAAAAAACAACTANGCCCAGTTTCATGATCGGTTATGCTCCGGAGGATCTATGTTTCCAACTTGAACCCAAAAACAAAGATTTCGTTTTTGTTTTTTCTTTTTTTTTCCCCTTATTTTTTTGGGGCAGCGGGGGTTAAGCACGGAACGGGTTTGGTTCGTGAAGAAGCCAAATCCGACCCGCTAGGACAGTAACTAACACTCAAGAATCTGTTATAAGTACACCTCCCTCCCTCTCTCTCTCTCTCTCTCCTCCCCCCAATTCACTTCCATTTCCTCTGTTTCTGACTCTTATTAACTTGACTCTCATTCTCTGTTTTTTTTTCTTCATTTTTTTTTAATTTTTTTAAACTTACAATGAACACCCCCAATTACATCCTCCCCATCTCCCTCCTCCTCCTCTCCCTCCCCCTCCCCTCCTCCTCCTCCTCACTCCCAATGCAACCAGACCCCCCAATCCCCGCCGACACCCGCCACACCCTCGCCTTGAAGCTCGGCGCCATCGCCCTCCATCCTCGCCCTCCGCGCCTCCTCGGCGTCCTCATCCCCATCCTCAGCCAAGCGCATCCCCTCCCTCCGACCCCGAGACCGACGCATTCCTCATCATCAAGTCCTCCGCCGCCGGCGTAATCCTCGCCCGGTATGATCCACATCCTCCCAACGCCTTCGAGCGGCTCACGTCCCCTGCCTCGGAGGCGGGCCGTGGAGGGATTTCCCGTGTTGCGGGTTTCGTGGCGATGGGGTCCGCGGTGGCGACGATGATGGTGAATTGTTTCGCGATGGGGTATTACCGGCGGTCGCAGATCAGTAAGGCGCCTCCCGGTGACGATGACGCGGATGTGGCGCGCGGCGTGGTCGGCATGGAACACGGGCACGGGCACGGGCGCTGCGGCGTCAGAGGGGTGGGACGGAAGAGGGTCGGTGGCGGAGAGGATCAGGCGTAGAGTTGTGTCACAGGTGAGATCATAGCAGTAAATGTTTGATTTTACATTTCGGTTTTGCTCTAACGAGAATAAAGCAAATGTTGCACGCAGAAAATGCCGTAGTAAAATGAACACGGAAGCTTTGGAATTTACCCTGGTCTTTATATTTGTGAATTTAAACTGCATTTTCATAAATTAGTTTAGGTGCTTTTAATAACATTTCCCACAAAAGAATGGAGGGAAGAGCTTTGCTACATGGACCCAAAATATAGGACCAACAGAGAGGACAGATGAGATGTCCCTCTCCTATAGCATAATGAACTGGCCATTATTAATGATGATCAACTCATTATGCAATAGGAGGAGAACACCTCAACTGTCCCGCCTCCCCGTTGGTAAAAAAAAGAAAGAACTTAATGAGATGGGTTCTTTATCCCCTATTCCCTCTTGTTTTTTTTATTCTTATTAATTTGTCTACCCTTGCTAAGCGCCTAGCTAAAAATGTTTACATGGCTGTTCATTACCTTGTTGGGACTGCGTTTTAAGAGACAAAGGAATCTTCTCCTTACATAGCGATTCTTTCTAGGACGGCAAAAAGAAAAAAAAGTTAAAATATTTACTAAATTTCTCGATAATTTCTATGTAAGTTTTGTTCAAGAAACAGTTGTCGCTTGTCATAAACAGCTCTGCGTCAATGACTATCGTATCAGTTACAAAGAATACCCTAATGTACATATTTCATACCAAAACTTTGGGGTATATAGACATGATAATTAATATTTTGGTTCTTCTAAACACCATAATGCCTTTTTGAACCGTCTTGATGCAGTCTGTCTTGGCCCACTCCTGGCCCTTTTTTTTTATTCTGAATTTTTTTATTACCTTTTTGCTAAATTTACTGTAGGCGTAGCTCAAAATGGCTATCTCCATCGGAAATAACTTGATTTATTATTGGCAACAAGGTTTTTGTCTTTAGCCAGTGGATTTTCCATGAAAAGTGGAATATAATCATGACATTAACTAACAGGTGGTGGGCATGTCCTCATCATGAAAACAACCCCATTTTATCCGATCCTGAGCCAAATTGGACCGTGTGCAGGTTTTGGAGCTGGGCATTGTGGTTCACTCAGTGATCATTGGCGTCTCCTTGGGCACCTCACAGAGCTCCTCGACGGTAAAACCCTTGTTAGGTGCTTTGAGCTTCCACCAATTCTTTGAAGGGATAGGCCTCGGTGGATGCATAGTTCAAGCCAAGTTCAGAGCAAGGGCCACGGTGATCATGGCCATCTTCTTCTCCTTCACTACGCCCACTGGCGTCGCCCTAGGGATCGCGATATCGTCGGGGTACGATCGGAACAGCCCGACCGCTCTCGCCGTTGAGGGGCTCTTCAACGCCGCCTCTGCGGGGATTCTGATTTACATGTCACTAGTCGATCTCTTGGCAGCGGACTTTATGAGCCCGAGGTTGCAGGGCAACACAAGGCTCATGTTGTGTGCGCATTTAGGGCTCATTCTTGGAGCCGGATTGATGTCTACGCTTGCTATATGGGCTTAGGTCCTTCCTCTTGTTGTGTTCGCAAGGGTTTTTGTCTATTGTCGAAACCCTTGGCAAGGGATGCTTTGCTGCTGTATAGCAATGGCAAGCAGGGACTTTTTGTGGGTGAAAATTTCTTTCCAAGATTCATTTGTTTTGAATTGTGCTACGTACACATGAAACAAACAAACAAACAAAATAATAATAATAATAATAATAAATCAGAATGTAGCCTCTAGTCTCCAGACATTATAACCTCAAACATTTTCATTGTATTATATGACAAGCAAAGATTACAATTTGGATGCGCAGAAGCTAGAAGAACACAAAAAAGAAGTAATTAATTAATCATTCCATGCATAATTTCAAATATAAGACTTGCTTCGGAAGTGAATAGTGATGTTAGAGGATTTTAGCATGTAACCTTTTTTTTATCACATACAGATAGTTTTAAATAAGCTAATACAAACTAAGCAACTACGTGATTAAGAAATTTGCAGTATGAAGCGCGCACACCCAAAACCCTTTGTCTACAACGCTAAAAACAAAATACAAGTTTTATACTTCTCCATTTACTCTCTGATTAAAATACTTGGCTGACTGAACACTGAACAGAATGGAAAGTAAAAAGATTGAAATTCCCCAAAATTCCCCAACTCTCTCTCTCTCTTTGGGCATCAGCTTCCAAAGTGATGAGCATCTCAGAGGAAGGCACCGGGTACAAAGCCTTTTGGCCACATTGTGAGGCCAGAGAAAGTTTACAAATATATTTTGATTAAACTATGTAATGTGATGGATGTTGTCATTACAACTAAGGGGAAAAAGTCTCAGTGGGTGGATGTTCCCACCAAAATTACGCATCAGATATCTTGATGTATACCCCCCTTATATGGGTAAAAAAAAAAGTTCGACTATGAAAACAGATCTAGCCCGGAAAATATATATTAAAATTCCATAGAAAGCCCTAGCCGTGGGAGGGGAGGGGGGGGGGGGGGCGGTACTGACCTCGATAAAAAGCTTCTAGCCAGCAAAAATATACTAAAATTCCGTCACTGGCCATCGCTTCAACTTCGTAAGTAGCCAGATTCTTGAGCAATGTTGTTTATTGACTTCACGCGATAACCTCTATAGAAGCTACATGAGGGAATGTGGGCTTTATAAAGCCTAACATCTAATTGGCAGTTTGAAGGAATGATCACAGAGTTCAAATTCATGGGAATGAGCAGGAAATCCATATAGTTCTTCTAGAGTAAACAGCACAGAGGGAAGTGTGTATTTTCTGAAGGCCATTCTTTTCACAGAATCATATGCAGAAGATCTAACCTGATACACTTTGAAGTTTCTGAATGCCATTATAATGTAAAAGGACATCATGCATGTATATTCCAAAGTTTTGAGTATATAAAGGTAGCCTGAACACAAAAACACATTACAGATTTTAATTTTGTAAGGAAGAAGTGAACTATTTTTTAAAATGAGACAAAGAGATTGGCTTCAAACACATTGGGATTAAGTACCCATTTCCCAGAAAAAGTTATTTTTCAGCAAGCAATCATCTTCTAAGAACATGATGTTGCTTCATAGATACTCAACATAGCACGTACCTTTTACAGTCACCAGTTCAGGATGAAAATTTGTAACAAAATTAGAACAAAAGAAAACAGCAGTGCCTCAGAACTCTTCCTCACTCCTCTTTTGGCCTTGAATTGCCTTCATCATCGTCATTGATTGTTGAGTTGGAGGGTTGTTGGGTAATGCTGGCTCTTGCAGCAGCTACAAACGTTGGGTCCGGCTGAGCCTCGTTGTGTGGCTTCTCTTTCATTGCCAAATAGATATAGTATGCAATAACCAAATTCACTGATATAACCGCAAGAAATCCACTCAGTAATGTCTTGGAGGAGGAGGAAAGCTCACTTATACCTGGGCGATAATATTTAGATAGATATTTATTACCAGAAAAGTACTTATTACATTAGCAATATTAAGTAGCCTCTTCCACTTTACAGTAATATCAAGGAAAAGATAATATTTTAGGCTTAGATTAGTAGTAAAACTAGCACTCGGCCTTATATCCATTCCTTGGATCTAAATTAGTGGCCAAAGAATCTTTCAGATAATAAGATGGAGCTTGTTTGTCTTTTTTTTTTTTTTTGAAATCTTGTCTACACAGTTTAAGCCCATTCAGGTATGAATGATAGAGTAGCTTATCATGGAAAACAGTATCCAACACGTTTATAGTGATTTGATATCATAAGGGGTGTGAAAGGAAATCTTAGATTCTGATCTCAGTAATTCTGTACAGAAGATTAGTATGAATATAAACTAGGAAGGCAGATTGAAATATTCGGAAACAAGCAATGACCATCCTTGGTACCTCTAGAGTCCACAAAATTGTGATAGAGTTAGAGACAAGAGGTGACTGTTCTTAAATGTCCACGGAGTGCAACTGTTGTCTACGTGCGGTCTACTAGAATAATGAGGTTTGCCATTTAGCATTCAAAACTCCTTGTTAATTTTTGAGCTTCGTGGAACTTAACACAGTTGAATAAGCAGTTTGATATAAAAGTGCATATGAAATTGTTGAGAAGTATAGCTCCAGCTAGTACTTGGAGGAGTTAGCAGGTCATATCGTTTCAGGTGAGGTATTTGGAGTCCAGAAAATAAAGGTAGTAGATAATGTTTAGTTTCTTGGACTAAAAAAAAAAAGTTAATATTCAGTTTTTACCAGGTTCAATATTTTGGGAAAAGTAAAGAACTCGACAAATTATTGCAAACTTCTAAGACAGTACAAAGAAAATTCCGCCTAATTTCGGAATCCTTAAAAAGACTTTGCCTTCAGGAAGAGGGAGTGCTGGGCAAACTTTTAGCAACTAAATTGGCCTTAGACCCCCACATTTCAATTTCAATTGAGTCTTCATATCAACATGTGATGCTTCAGGAACATGAGTTGGTCTTCATTTATAATAAAGGATTAAATAACTATTGCCCCCTTGAGTGAAGTAATGAAATATAGGTTAAGTCTCTAAGCTTACAAAAGGTAATTGCAGTGTGTTTTACAAGCAATGACAACACAATCAAGGTGAAGGATGCAATATATGGTAGTGCCTAGTTCCACAACCAGTATCTTAATAATATACTCCAAGTTCCAGATAGAAGTCATAGCTACTAACGAGGAGAAAAGGAAGGTTTTGCTGTGCTTGTATGAAAAAGGACATTTCACGGTTTCCTTTTGAGCAGGCACGAAAGGATACTTCAATTTTTCTGGCAAGAAAACTGTTAACATTTGCAAGTAACCAAAATATATAGCAAACCTTCAAGCATTCCAACTTTTTGGACAGCTTAAAGCTGGAACAAAAGCTATAGGAGAATCACCAGAGATATGGGTTGGCGAGTATTATCGAAGATGTTTTCTTAGTGGGAGTTGAATTGAATTTTACCAAACCCATAATTCATAAGCTGACTGCAGATGAAACCGGTAACATGCATCTAATAACAATCATCCACATTAAAATCCAGATATGATAACGCAAATCCTAAGTTGGCAACTCGAAACAGGCACATTACAAAATTCATACGCCCCCATCTTGCAAGATAGTAAATCTATATATATCGATAAAAAATGATCAATATACACCCATAATATTAGCAAAGAAAATAATAGTAAATTTACCGGGGAATATCTGATAATTAAAGCTGTACAGTATCAGAACAGGAGCCGCCCACATGACCATAGATGTAACAAAGAAGTTCTTCATCACTCCAGACATTGTTGCTTCTCAAAGAAAACAAAAGTTAACTTCAATAATTTTCACTGAACCCGAACCTATAATATGCAAAGAAAATAAACCATGCAAATGATCAAATAGCTAGTTAATTGAAATTAAATACCCTGATCAAATCTCAAATCTTTATTCAAAAGTTTTAGGGTTTAAAGATAAGAATCCCAAGCTTGATTTTGAGATTCAAATACAGGTAGCAGTTCTTCCCCCCCTACAATTTAATAAAACCGTAAATTCCTACAAATTTTGAAAATTAAATAAATAAAAATTACCGAAGGTGAGGGTTGCTACTAGGGGTGCATTCGGTTCGAATATGACACTTATCATATCCATATCCGCTTTTTGAAAACGGATACGGATACGCTTCGGATATTCACCGGAAAGAAAAAGGCATTATCATTCCGCACTAAAAGGAAATGGAAACGGTTCGAATATTAGAGAGTTGGATACGGATATGATACATATATTAATCAGATATTTGGGAAACGGATATGAATAGGGTATGACCAAAAAATAATAATTTAATAACTCACAAATAACTAAAAATTAATATACTTGAAAGTAAAAAAAAATCTAGAACATTGCTACACAGATTCAGATATGCACTCTCTCGTGGTATATAATTTTCAAAAATCAGCATTACAAACTTACAGTTACACATCAATGTGCACTCTCTATTTATTTGTGTGTTTGTGGGTATTGGGAATGAGGGTGGAATTGGCACTTAGGTATCAGTTGAAATTTTTGAGCACTGATTTTAGTAGCTTGTGGTTCCTAATTCCGAAGCAAGTTTTAGCTTCTAACTTACTACTTTAATTCAAGGTGCATGTGCTCTAGAACTTCACAAAATTTTAAGCTAAATCATTTGTCAAACAAACTAGGTCTTTTCAGTTTTCAGTCAATAAAGGATAGCAAATTAGGGCTTTTTATCGAATAAATTAGGGCTTTCCACTCAACGAAGGGCTAGCAAATTGGGATTTTTTATCATACAGATTAGGGCTTTTCATTCAACCAATTAGAGTTTCGAATTCACCTCAGTGTTAGAAGAAACCGAGGAGAAGAATTTTCGGAGGTCGCTGTTGATGGTCGGTCGAGCTTGAAGGCGGAGGCTTGAATTCGGTCAAAAAAGAAGAGCCTTGGAGACGGCTGAAGTCGAAGGCGGAGGCTTGGAGACGACGAAGGTTGAAGGCGAAGGGCGGAGGTCGAAGGCGAAGGCTTGGAGACGGCTGAGGTCGGAGGTCGGAGGTCGAAGGTCGAAGGCGGAAGTCCAAGGCGGAGGAGGCTTTGAGATCGTCAATTTAAATCGGGTCGGGTAGAGGATAAGATGGGTTGTATATATAAAGACCCGACCCAACACCCAACTGTAAAAACTAGCTGAGTTATACACATTCGGACTATATCCGGACCGTATCCACAAAATTGACCCAAAAGCCGTATCCGAAATCGTATCCGAATAAAAACTCAAAACTAAAACAGAACCGAAACCGTATCCGAATAAAAACTCAAAACTAAAACAGAACCGAAACCGTATCCGAATGATTGTAATCTTTTCCTACCATATCTATTCTTTTATACAAATGGGAGAAACAAAGAGCCACTGTTCATGCTACAGTAAATTTACTGTATCAGCTGAGAAATTAAAAAGCCACCGTAGCAGATCGGTACTGTAGCAGCTCGGGAATGGCACTGTAGCAGGCGAGTTACTGTAGCATCCCAGAAAATTCAAACCGGGAGAGTTTAAAAACGACGGGAACATTGTAGCAAAAAAAAAAAACACCGTGCCGCGCACGGGCTGCACACTAGTCTGTTTTCTAAACGGATATGGTTGCGATCGGTCCGAATATATCCGGATTGTTTTGCACCCTTATTTGCTACAGATCTCTGCTCGGTGTCCTCGCAAGTTGAGAAAAATGAGAGAGAGAGAGAGAGAGAGAGAGAGAGAGAGGGAGAGCAGAAGAGAAATATGGGAGGCTGTCTCATCGGGTCGGGTTGAGATCCGAATAGATATTTTACCAGTTTGTTACCTGGGCCTATGCCTGTTGGGCTTTAAGTCAAACAGGCTAAATCGTTGAAGACTGTCCTTTTTAATTTTACGCCCCGAGAATCAAAGAGAGGGAGCCTCTTGCATCTTCTTTCTTTATTTTTTCCCCCAAAATTGCGTATCCGAGCTCCGAACCCTAACCCTAATTGAAAACCCTAACCCTGACTCTGTGATCGGAGGAAGCCGATCGCAATGGGGAAGAAGAAGAAGAGGCCGTCGAAGGTCTGGTGCTATTACTGCGATCGAGAATTCGACGACGAGAAGATCTTGGTTCAGCATCAGAAGGCGAAGCACTTCAAGTGCCACGTGTGCCATAAGAAGCTCTCCACCGCCGGCGGCATGGCGATCCACGTGCTCCAGGTTCATAAGGAGAGCGTCACCAAGTAAAAACCCTATCCCTAACACTAACTTCTCTCGATCTGGATCCCTAATTCGAACAAAACCCTAATTTTTCGTAATGCAATACAGTTCATTGAGCAATTAGCATTCAGGTTTTTGGTTAAAAACAAAAATAAACCTAACTGCTCTTGGATCCCTGTTGGAAAAAACCGTAAATTTTTAAGCGGTACGGTTAGTGAGCAATTGAAATTAGGTCTTTGGTTCTATTACTGTGTTTAGGGTGAGCTCATATGCTACGCTTATTGTAATTTTTGCCCGTACATGCTATTCATATCGAGGGCTATTAGTAAAGAAGTACTAACTTTTCTTTATCTGCATTCAGGTTTTAAAAAAAAAAAAACTGATTTTTTATGCAGTGCACAATGCGGTACTTCTTTAACCTGATTCTTGAAAAATCTGCCGTTACCTGTCAATTCTTGGAAGATGTCTGTTCTTAATAAAACCTATGGTCAGCTTGTAGGATGTCATGATACTCTATTTGAAAAGTTTCTAGGTTTAAGGCAGTTTAATAGGCATTAAAGCTATAGATGATCTTCTGGCCTAAGTTACCAGCTTGGTTTGAGCCTTGGATAGGTGTTTTAGTGTACGATTGAACATTTAACATTTTGATTTTATTACTATGTTCAGGATGAGCTGATATTCTGTGCTTTTTATAGTTTTTTGTGCTTAAATACTAGTTGCCATTAGGGGTAGAAAATGACCTAATCGAAGCAAATGTCACATGATTTGAATTCAAACTTGACCAGTTTTGTCATACATGAGAATCGAGTTCGAATTCGATTCGAAAATCTGCTAGGTGTTCGAATTCAATTTGTTATAAATATTATGTTTTCGTTAATTATTCACGAATATCTTAGTAGCTCAGTTGGCAAATCTTTTCCTCTCTCAACCAAGTGGTCGTGGGTTCGGCCCTTGTTTTAGGGATTTTTTTCGAAGTGTATTATTTTGACTAGAAGCCGCTATTCAACAAATTATAGATGTAATGTAGGCATAAAATTCAATCCACTTAATTAATAAATTTTATTCATAAAATTAAGAAAACTAAATAGACAAACAAAAATATTTTGTATAAGATTGTTTAATATTAAAATTGACTTTCTTAGTAACTTTTACTTTAGAATTCTTTTAGCAGTAAGATCTATTATACAAGTTTACAGGATGAGTATACTTTTGCAATAAATTAAAGGTTAAATTAAATTTATTGAACTGAATGTAAAACATAAACGAATACTTAATAATCAAACGAATCGAATATACATTTATTAAATTCTATTTGTTTATGAGTCGAATACTAGAATTTATTCGTTTATTGTTAAATGAACTACCGAATTGAATGTGACCGAGTAATTAACAAAATGTTTATTAATTATTTGGTTCATTTCCACCCCTAATTTCCATTAGTTTTCTTTCCATTTATTCATATGGAGGGATATGGGAAGCCCGAAAGCTGTTCAGCCTTGTTATTGGATTTGGCGTTGGGTGAAATTACCCTAGGAGTTACAGATTGTATGACACGTATACCAAAATTCAAAAGGTAATTAATTATTTTGCAATTTGGAAAAAAATAAGTGATACAGATATGGCCATGTTGGCTTCTATTGCCCAACAGAGATCTTATTAGTCAAGAACCCTTAGCCATGTTTTCCCATTTAGTTGTTTTCAAATGTTTTTGTCTAGTATCATATATAATTGAAAGTTATGTTACTAAAGAGGTTGATCCTTGTATATTGTAACCGTCTCTTATGTTTAGCATCTGAATAGTCTAAAATGTATTGTTCCTCAAGATATTTTCATTAAAAAAAGTATTGTTTCTCAACATCTTGATGATTGTTTCCGCCTTAATTTGGTTTTTTAGGGTTCCTAATGCAAAACCAGATAGAGAATCAACAGAAATTGAAATATTTGGAATGCAAGGAATACCTCCTGAAATTTTAGCAGCGCATTATGGAGAAGGTAAAGTTTTCTTTTCATGAATATTTATCACTTACAAGCATTCGTCTCTTCACTTAAGTGCTAAAATCATGATAAACTCCTTTTGATGTTATGCTGATGCTATATATGATGTCATATTTCATATTGTTAATTTTTTATGGTGTCATCCTTTCATTCTCAATGAAACTTTTCTTCTTGCACATCATAATGACTCTTTATCATTATGATGTTCATGATCATTTTACTACAATCTTTATTGTACTAGGAATGGTATCTGCAAGGAATGCCAAAGGAAATACATGCAAATTTTGCTTGTTTATGATGTTAGCTTGACAATTTTTAAATTCGTCTCGCAGAAGAAGATGCCTCATCAAAAATGGCTAAAGTAGATGTGCCTTCTACTGGACTTGTTAGTGGTATGGTACCTAGACCATTGGGCATGGGATATCCTCCTCCACAAGTTTATGGTGCAATGCCGCCAGTGTAAGATTCCTCAACATACACCTATATTAATTGATATACTTCATATTATTTTTCATGTTTTTGCTAAAAATTATTAGTATATGAAAGTCAGATTTTGTCGCAAGAAATATGAGTATTTAGATGAGAAGGTGTTACTACAGTTTTTATGCACGTTACGAGCATATTTCATACTTCCTTTCTGAAATTAGGTTCTCTCTTTACCAGTTACAATGCAGCTCAAATGGGAATTCAACCTCCAAGATGGCCTGTTGCTACTCAGCCACAGCCATGGTTTCCACCTCCAGCGGTATCTGTTCCTCCAATACCTGCTGGTCTGGCACCACAGCAACCATTGTTTCCTATTCAGAATGTGGGAGCTTCTTTGACAGCCACTAACACGCCTGGAACTCAACAACCATTTCAAGTAGGCCCGCCTGGTTTGTCCACATCCACACCACTTTCAGTATCTCAACCTCTATTTCCTATTGGTGTTAGTGCCAGTAACACACCAGCACAAAGCTCACCATTTTTGTCAAGTACTCATCCTGGAGCGTTGTCTTCAAGTTCTCCTACAATACTGAAGGGTCAATACGATGCAAATTCCTTATCTAATTTGGGAACAGGTATGACTATAAGTCTTACAGCAATGGAAATTGAAATTTTTTCCTGTTGTTAAGATTACTCATTACACTTGATGTTATTGATACCATTCATCTGATATATTTCCTTTGGGAAATCAAGCATTACTTATATGGAATGTAGACTAGTGACGCGTATCTTTCAAAGTCTTAGATGTGGTTGAGACAAATTGTTTCTAATGATACTAGCCATTATTATTATATAAATATTTAATTCTTTTTGTATATCATTCCCCGAGTTTAGAATCTCTAGATGAAATCTTCTCGGAGTTATGCAGAAAATCTTTTGATTGCATGTGTGCTAACTAACATCTAGGTAGAGTGTCTAAAAGGCGATGAGCTCTACCTCACTGGATGGGATGGATGTTGAGGTCTGCAGGTCTCAGGTTCAGGACCAGCCTATGGTTTTCAATAAAAAAAGGTCAAGAAATGATAGTGTCCTAACTTAGTTATTTACATCTCTACATATGTGATATGCGTTTCTAGCACAGTACTTCCAGGTGTTTGGATTTCTGACTTAGGGAGGCATGCCATACGAGCGTGAATGGTTGGGAGTGACCAAGTTTTCAATAGAGCCTTTATTCTTACAGTTCTACTCAATACCTCTCTCTTCTGATGTGGAATGATGGCCGCTCAGTTATCATATCTAAGTCTACCTTCCTAGAGTTCAAGTTAATTGTCTAATCTTTTGCGGGGTATGTCATTAGAAATTTTTTAACTCTTGAAATAGATAGAAGTGGTTGATACAATCCCATCTATTTTTTTCCTTTATTACAAAGATGATCGCTGTTTGTTTTACTTAAGTAAGTTGCAAGTAATTTGCTTGGTCAAAATCACAACATATTTATATGGTGTAGCTCGTTTTTCAGAAGTTGGAGAAGTCTAATTTTTTTAAATGAAACTTAAAGCTAGCTGATTTGGGATCTCTCCAAACAGATAGATACTGAAAAAAACAGCTTAAAAAGCTACTTTCACCGAAAGTAATCCCTCCTACACACCCTCATAATGAGATAACATGTTAAAAAGATGAGTAGCTTGAAAAATCAATACGCTTAAGTTAACTTGCTGTTTGTAGTTATAATCTCTGAACAGAGACCCTCTTATCAGTCTCCATCTCCTCTCAAGTATGGGTTTCAATATCAACCATCAGCAAAAGTTTCCAGGAAATTGCTTTATTTAAAGTTTTAAGCTAGTTGGTTGTGGCTAACATATATGTAGCATTTATCATTCCAACTAATGTGGTTTTCCTTCTCCGTGAAGAAGAAGAAAGAAATGGCTTTTCTTGGATAAGCTGTATTTGTGTAGTATTTCAGTAGAATAGCACGTCATTTGATTATTAGTTTCTGGCCTTAAATCTTTAATTAAATAATCAGACGATATGTAAACAACAACTACCCCTCCACCCCCACCCCCACCCCCGACCCCCCACGCCAAAAAAAAACACCCACCCATTGTGCCATGCACATATTGCATACTGAGATCACAGTAAGAAGAAAATAAAAATGTACAGAGGAAAAAGCAGCAAGTCAGCATCATTCACATACACACAAACATATGAAAAAGAAAGAAAGAAAGGACGGAGAAAAGAAAAGGAAGAAAGAAAAGTAGATCTTTTGGAGTCATATTTAATATGTTGTACCTTTTCAATGCTGCAGGAGGGGGTGCGTCTTATATCAATCCACATTCATATGCTTCTGGACCGAACACTGGAGTTGCAATTGGCCCGCCACCCGTGATCTCCAATAAGGCTCCTACATCTCAGCCAGCGACCAATGAAGTTTACTTGGTTTGGGATGATGAGGCAATGTGCATGGTCAGTCTTAAAATGCATAGTGGCCTTATTTTAATGCTTATCATATAATGTTTATGTTCATCATAATATCCTGAATTTTGCTGTGTTGTACAGGAGGAAAGAAGAATGTCCCTGGGAAAATATCAGGTGCATGATGAAACTAGCCAGGTAAGTCATTACTGCATTTTTTTTTCATTCCGTTCAAATGGATGGGCATCCTGTTTGCAAATCCAAACTGATAGGTAGGCAAAATTTTGCCTCTTGGAGTATTTTCTTTGATAAAATTATATTTGGAATTGTGCAATTTGATAACATCTTGGAGAGCAGTTCAACTACAAAATTAGGTCTACATGCATACATTGAGAAGATTTTAGAGCCATTGCTACTAGAAAGTAATAATAGACGAGATGAGATAATATATTATATATACAACCATTTGGTAGATGATAATCAGAATGCTACTGCTATGTGAGCCGACATTTATATATTACAAGTAGGTATTCATGTCATTCTTTCTGCTAGTTAGTGTTACAAAACTAACAAACTTTGTGCTGCAATGCTTCGAGGGGTTCTCAACCTAGCACTGGGCGACAATGTGTATGTATTGTGCTTTGAAGTAGAAAATTTTTATTATTCATTTTTTTCCTCCATGGTATTCATTCTCCCTATTGCTTCTTTAATGGGCGAGTGGGGTTTGTGTGGAACAAGATTTGTAAGCCGGCAGGTTTTTTTACCAATTCAATTCGTAGCATTTCTTGTTATCTGTTTATGATCGCAGTTGCGACCAGACTTTTGGTTACAGGTCAGCTTTCATTCAGCCGATAAGTTTGCTACCTCAGTAATCATATTAGCATCTATATATTCTATCATCGGCGGATGGGCATACATAACATTGTTTTTATTGATGTTCTTTCTTTTCACTATTGTTTCCAGATGAATTCCATAGATGCAGCCATAGACCGAAGGATATCTGAAAGCAGGCTTGCTGGTAGAATGCCATTCTAGTTTCTTTTCACAAAATTGGAGCTCGTTCAAGTCAGCTCGATACATCCTTTACATTTTGGGAGTAGCCATACAATTCAATCGGGACATGTTCAAGATTGCAAAATCATCTTATTATTGGTTGGATATATTCCTTGTAGGTGTTTTGAGGTGAGAGTCCAGAGCTATTCTTTTTCCTTTGTTGAGCTACTAGGAATGTGCTGCTTGATGAGAGGTTTGCGCGTTCCTTGCTTTTATTTAACTGATCCAGATGTTTCATGTGAGAGACTTATCTGTAACTTATCAATCTTTTTCTTCTAAAGGCTGTCTGTTAAAGATATTTTGAATGCATATATCCATTCTCAGACTCTGTGCTACTTTGATGATTCTAAATTGTATGGTCTTTTGAACAAGTACTCTGTTGAACCTTAAGGGGCACATGCTTGGCAAAATTCCTCAAAAAAACGAGCTAGGCCTAGGATTGATGTTGGCCCAGTTTCAAGGTGAACTGCTTCTTCGTTTTATCAAAGAGAAGGGAGGGAGGGAGAGGGGTGGATTTAAACAAAACCATTTCTGGGCATCCTTTTGGCTCTAGCCTGGTTTTTGCTAAATAATAAAAAAAATAAGCTCAAAACTGTTTCAAGATCGAACGCTCCTGGTTCAGTTTTAAGGATCAAGGATTTGCCACTTGAAAATGCGATTCCAAGAACTGTCGAATCTTTTGAGTGAACAGCTTCATCTGTACGTAATGCGGTACTTGAAATGATGCCATTTGGAAATGCGGATCGAATTCTTCTTGGTTGCAGGATTCTGTCAGAGTCCTTCGTAGGGCGAAAGGAGGGGCCACTCCCACCCCTGTTGCCCAAAAGCTGGAGATTTTTTTTTTTTACTCTTTTATACTTCGCTACTGTGCACCCCAAAAGTTATTTTTTTTTTAACACTGCATTTTAAACTTGCCTTCTTCTAAATTTTGATACATTTACTTCAGTTATAATGTGCTTAAAAATCATATCTACTCTGTTATACTTAAAGAAGGAAGGATCTGTGTTATGAATAGTAACTTTAAGTAAGGAAGAGTATATTTGATTTATTTTTTTTCATGCTACGGTATATTACTGTTGCATAGATAGTAGCTCTGCTTTTCTGTTCATGTGACATTACTTATTACATTATTTACTGTAGCATAAGTATAGAGGAGTACATGGAGAAAGAAAGTATTGTGCTCTACGTTGCTAAGCCCATCTCCCAACTCGTCCTTTCCTATGTCATTAACATATATAAAAAGTCCTAATAGCTTTCGCATAGAGCCTCCACAAATCTTCTTTTTCAGGATGATTCTTTTATTTTATTTTATTTTTCAGATATAAATAATTTCCCTTGGAGTTTTTAAATGATCGGAATGCTTGCATAAATTTCATGCAGTGAAAAATCAATAACCATTTTATGGTAGTGTTTTCTTTTCTAAAATAACGTATGAAAGATTCTATGCAGTAGGCAATAAAGAGCCATTCGACTGATTAACTAGCTGGTAATATTTGTATTGTAACCATAAGTGTATATATAGGCAGGTATATATTAATCGTATTATGTGCTGTGTATGTGGGGTTTATCAGTACGCACCGACATTAAGTATACTAGTTAGCAGGGGGTACGTGCAATGCAGGTGCCAAATTTAATTGGGAGTTTATGCAAAAGAATGCTATATTTTATATATGCAGGATTTAGATTAACAAGGGCTATATTTATAAAATTAGGTTTTATGTGCAATTTTTATAGTAATGGTCAGTATGTATGGAGATAATAGTCAATATCCAAAGTATTTTAAGATTTTGAAATCACTACATTTATAACAAACTTAGGTTAAGGTAAAGTGTATGTAAATCCCTCATCTATACCTTCAGTTCCACCTAACCCCCTAAGTTATTTATTAGCACATAGCACTCTTCCCTTAAGAATTGAGGGGGCTTAAATGCTAATAAATGAGCTAATTGAAGGTATATATAAGGGAGTTTTGTGCAACTTACCCTTTAGTTTATTATATCTTTGCATTTTTACTTTTTCCTGCGATTTTTAAAATAATATATTTTGTTTCAAATCATATTGAACCTTTGAAGGTAAGTTGTACATCAACCTCTCATCGATAATCAATTCCTCTAATTACATATATTGATTGTAGTACATGCTAGAGGAACCTTGTTCCACTAATGAGGAATTGTTATGTGAATTTACTTGCTCATTGAGCAAATTCCATGACTACCCCAACCAATAGGATAGCGACACATGTACCGTCTGATTTGCTTAGACAATTGGCATAAAATATTACCCCCTAACTTAGGTAAAGGTACCTCATACTTTTACCTAAACTTAGTACCGCAAAGCTTGCATGATGAACCCTTTTCTCTAAAACCACTTTTTTATCTTTGATAACTCGGAATTTTTTAAACACTGTAATACCACAAAAATTATAAATATTTAAGGTTTAATACCACAAAGATTTACATTTTATCACAGTGACACCTTAAAGTTTACATATTTTAGCTTTGATGCTTTAGCCCAAGTTTGGGGGTATCAAAGTGTTCAAAGCAAACCTGGGGTATCAAAGTGTTCAAAGCAAACCTTTGTATGTCAAGATAAAAAAAGTATAAAATTTATCATAACAAAGTGTCAGAAAAAAATTTGTATGGGATTATTGTAGGTTTGAAGGAGTAATATTGAATATTGTAGATTATGTGTATCGAAGTTCAAAGAAGTATATGATATTAAAGTGAAATAAGGTGTTTCGGTCATTGACGGCTTAATGAGCAATTTCAAAGATTTAGGGAATTAATATGGAGTTACTGTAGATTGATGGACTAACATGGAAATGTTCTAGATTTAAGGGACTAATATGTAATATCCATCTTTATTTTAGGCTAAATATGTGAAGCTAACTTAAGTTTAAGTGAGGTGGAAAAAGGAAAAAGGGAAAATTGCTTCCAGCCCTCAAACCCTAAGAAGTATTCCAATCACTAGTAAAAAATCAAGCATCCTAGACATAGATCGAACAATTTATAATTAATTTTTCATAGATCGAACCATTTATAATTATTTTTGATTTGATATCGAATAAAAAATAATTAAATTGTTATTGAAGCAACAACAAAGAAAATGCGCATCCCTATTCCCATGGTAGAAGCGTCGTTTCTTGTTATTATTAATACTATAGAAATATAGAATATACATATTTTTTCAATTCTTATTAATTAAGTATTTTTTTTCTCTCAATTAAACTCTGGCCTAATATTGTTAGAGCTCGGGAAGTTTCCTATCTTTATTTCCTTAGCTGACTGTGAGGACTAGCCACTTTTAAGGAGAAGAGGAGATTCAAGTTCCTCCAATTTTCTAAACGCAACACCTTTGTTTGTGATTTATGCAGGTTAGAGTGTTGGTAGGTGGTTCATTTGTTCAGATGCTATTGACTCTCCTTATTAATGCTGAAAAATATTTTGAAAAATATATTAGTGTGCAATGCACGTGCACTCCTTGCTGGTTTTTTTTTTAAAAATTAAAATGCCTGCAGATTCAGTAAACATAATTTGCTTGAATCTCTCAATCCAGTACAAGCACAAATTCATATCTTCACCTTAAGGTACCGTTTGGCAAAGGGTTAAGTGAGTAGTTATGGTGACTTAACCATTTTTTAACCCGCCAAACACAAAAAATCTATACAACAACAACATCATGATTTTTGTTCTGACTTTTTCTTAATGGAAACCGTCTTTAAAGTCGGGTTGATATACAGAAAATATTTTTATTTTCAATTCCTACATAAACTATCTTTAAAGAATTTTTTGTTGCAATCAATTATTTTACTTTTTTTTTGAGTAACTGATCTCACCTAACCTCCGTTGAGCATTGCCTTTCTAACAGGTGATATTTGACAACCAACTGTAACAATAAAATTGAAAAAAAAAAATAAGCCCAGGCAGTTGATCGCAATAAAAAGCTGTTTAGACATAGTTTATGTATAAATCAACAATAAAAAATAATTTATATAGGATAACTCTACTTTAAAAGTGATCATTTGCATTTAAAAAAAAAGTTTACTTTGTTGAATTTAGCGAAACAATTCAATTTCAACCAAAGAAAAATTCTTCAAGCACCCAAAATATAGGACCAATAGAGGAGACAAGTGAGGTGTCCCCCTCCTATTGGATAGTGAATTGGTCAAGTGAGGTGTCCCCCTCCTATTGGATAGTGAGTTGGTCATCATTAATGATGACCAACTCACTATCCAATAGGAGGGGGACACCTCACTTG